AGGATTTTATATATATATACGAAATAACCAGAATATGTTGTAACCTTCTAATTATAATTGTCCGAAAAGTCACAGGGCAGGTAATGGTTGAAAAATCAGAATCACTTTTATACGCTGCATTAGATTTTAAGGGATATCATTTAAAAAATAACTATAATCATAAATGAGTTTAATTTGACTTGTTAATTAAGCAATGTTTCACAGCTCCAACTTCGACAAATGCATCCATACGTTTATGCTTTTCGTATATCATGATATTTATATATGCATGTCAGATAGTATTAGTAAATCGTTTCATTCATTATGCCAGAAATCGTTCCATTCTCGAAATAACTTAGGTAATCTGAAAACTACCTAGATAATCTATACATTACCTACAAAGAACTCGTTAAAGGGAAATTAAGATCGTTGTTAGAATAACAGAAACGTTTCTGCACGCTTAGATTAACATAAATGTTGTTTATTTATTTTACGCTATCTGAAAACTCAGCTCTCTGTGCATGTTGTATTTTAATCATTTAATCAACTATAAAAAGCATAGAATTGAAAACTAAGAAAACAGTATTTCTAGAGCAATCGTTTATCCATTTAATTAGGTTTCTTTAAAAGAAGAGAGTGTTTTTTTTAATGTTTTTAAAAATATTTTTTTAATGAAATTAGTCATACAAAAACACTTTTTAAGATGATGCAGAGTTTCTTCCTTTTTTTGGCTTTATACCCTTATGAAAAAATGCAGTTTTGAATTACCTCGTAAAATAGCTTAAATATTATAGCACTAATGTATTTTTTGCAACATTAGTTTTAGGATTTCTTTGAGTAAAAAAAAAACAACTTTTAATTGGATAAGTAACTTAATTCATTAACGTCAGCCTTTCTATCTTGAACACACGCCTTGAATTTTCAAAGATAAAGAGTGGTGAGTTATATGAGCAAAATAAATATAAATATTGTTTCATTATTTATATTTATTTTGCGGTATGAGAAGTGTCATATTCTTAATAATATATATTAATACTCATTATATTAATAAAGAGTGGTAAGTGTATTATTTCATTATTAACACTTATCTTGCAGTACCAAGCAAGATGTTCTTGTCCATAATAACATATTAACATTAATATCTTATAAAAACATGAAGAGTATAATAATACATTAATGGAACATTTAAATATGCAATATTGCATCTGCGTTTAATTTTTAAATGAAATTGGTAGTTAACATTATTATTAATTTAGTTTAATCCTTCAATTAACGTTTAAAGTGCTGCTCTACAAATGTATCAAAGTTATTTCTTTATTTACATTTATTCAAGATAAAGAAGATATTTATATTCACATCGTAATGTTACAACAATTAAAATATTTGTATTTGAAGTGGAAATTCGCTACTTTAACCCCTTGGGGACGGGTGATTCAGAAAAGCATTCGTACAAAATCAGAATCAAGTTGTAATTAAATAAAAAAAACGGTAAATTAAATGTAGTCGTTGCTAATTTGACAGACTTACTTTGCTTTTACTTCAATTATTGTTAGTTTAATCATATATATAATCAATGTTAATTTAAAGTATAATTAAATAGTTTTATTTTGAACAAAGTAATGGTGAATTAAATAAATCAAGCAATTATAACTCCGCCCACAAATAAACTGCTAAAGAAATACTGTGATTACCAGTTTTATCTTTTTACCCTGATTGATACGGTTTTATGCTGGCACGTATTTGTGACAGTCGGCGCGAAAGGGTTAATATACTTATTGTAGGATAAAATATTAAGTTAACCGGAAAATACACCCCTCTTTTTGAAGTAATTCATAAAGTGTTTTTATAAAAGAAAGTGTTTGAATATTTACCAATGGTAATGTTCTAGCTTAAAGAGACGCATCATATACCGTCACAAAAGAGCATGTGCATACATATTCAAACTTGTAACGAAACTATCAGACAAAACTAAGGGGTACATCTAATACAGACATTTAAAGGTAAATGCTCTAGGAAAGAGGACTAGGATATTTTAAGGTGGACGCGAATATCTTGCATCTCCAAAATAAATTCTGAGAATTAAATTCGATTCCTGTTTATCTTCGTAATCTTTTTTTGAGATAAAAGCACATGTTTCCAAAATAGTTTAGTCGCATAATGGAAGTTCACTTACTTCTATAAAAGACAATCTACCATCTCGATTACTGTCAGCTTTATGAAGAAGGCGAGCTATTTGCGTATTTTGCAAGGATCCTGTCCCCAACTCCTGTACAAGTCTCTTCAACTCATTGAAATCCAAATATCCATCTTCATTTCTGTCGAATCTGTAAGGAATTAGAACACCAGTCCAGGAGGTGCACTCAACATTCGGTGCAACCGCAAGGACCAGACTGCACTTACCAGGCTTATCAGTGGCCACCTTAAGTCCCTTTCTTTTGAGGGTAGTATTAAAATCTACCCTAACTGCCCCAGGTGCCACAACATGCAGGCTTCCCCCCAACATATACTGAACTGTCTAGGTCTGGACAAAAGGGACATTCTTAATAACACACTTATGGTGGCCGACTTCCTCCGGGTGATGAATTTCATGGACATAGTTTAGCCCTGCTAATTTTGGGGATAAGGAAGAGAAGAGAGGAATTAGATAATGATTGATTATAAGGATGACTTATTCTGTAGCTTGATATTTTAACTTATATAGGCTTAAAACTACTGCTTAAATAAGCTTATTTGATAGTTTCTAAGTGTCTTATACAAAGTGAAAGAGGGTGGTAAAAATAGTACATTATTAGGATATTTTACTTTTATGAACTTGACAATTTTTTATTGATTCTGGTTGGGGCTATAAGGTGGTCAAACGACAATATTTACATCATTATCCAGAACCATTAAAAAGTACCATTGCCTTGTTAGAACATTTAGAATGGACCTTCTATATGCTTTGATTGTGGAAGAAAATATAGTCTAAAACTCCGCTTTTAGCTTGAAGCATATGTTGGGGAATGGTTCAGTTTAGAATGGTGCATTGAATAAAAAAGCCATATTTACTAACAATCAAATTTAATAATTGTAAGCAATAAGCACAAACAATAATAGTATTTTTTGTTAGGCTTCCCCATAAGCTTTTCTTCCAATCCGTTGCCCTCCACATAAGTGATACATAATCAGAATTATAAATGATTGATTACCTCTGTTGGTTAGGCAGAAATTTGCTTTGGCATAAAAACGAATGTTTACAAATGCTCAGTTTTTTTTTGTACATCTGAATCTGGTCCATATTCGTTCTTATCTATCGTCAGATTTTCTCTTCGATAAAGAACTCTATCGCTATGCACATTGTACAGGTAAGGTAGCCAGTCATCTTGTTTGTTAGGGGTGAATTACTCTTCATCATTGAGAGTACCATAACACGTCATTTAGAGCGACTTTAAATCTATTTTCTTTGCGATTTTTAGTAAATTTGAAAGCCACTTTCTCCTTACTGTAAATAAAATTACCCAACCCTTTTATCATACTATTCGTTGGATAGTAAATTTTAATATTGAAGGGATCTAGTGTCTTACCGAAATGGATGTCTATATTTCCAGATTTTAAATTCTCTTACAGTATTCCTTCTTTCGCTGGGTGAGAATTTTGATTGCTGCTCAGATGATATTTTATTGTCATAAACATTTTTTTATATTTTTATAACCGTCGTTGAACCCAATTTCATGGGTTTACGACTACTAATGTTCAACTCCGTAGCCTTGTAATTTTAAACCCGATCCAGGAAACAAGGGAACTCCTGTGTCGAGTATTGGGAGAAATTTGCCTTCGTGGAGGACTTTTTGAGGGAGCTAACTCGCATTTGCGCTACATGGAGAGGAAGACTACGGGAACCTCCCACGGTTAGCCTGACGGCAAGGGGACTCTAACCCATGATCCGTCTACCACTGAGGATATTTCACGTCAGCACTGTGGTCGGTGCAAACCGGATGCGGAATTCGTATTCGAACCCGGTTCTCCTCATTGGAAGGCGAATGCTCAATCCCCTGAGCCATCGCGGCTCTGTCATAAGCATTTGTAAGTTTACAATATGTTTGCAACTGGTAATCGAAATGGGCCACAAGTGGCGCAGAGCAGAACTCTCTACCTATGGCAACAATTCGTATGATTTCACCATTAGCATGTGGAGAGTCATAGAAGAAGAAAGTAAGTTAGTTTCAGCCTTGATTTTAAAATAGATTAAAATCTTGTAAGTTAGGAAACTATATGGAACTGAAAACTACATTAAACATAGTTCTAAACGAACGTGTCATGCAAATTTTTAAAAAATATTTTTAACAATTAAATACGAAAAATATTAAGAAAGGGGAAAAGATCGTAGTACATTTCCATACAACTGAAAAGAGGAGGAGAGTGAAGGGGGAAAGGCCAAAGGCAAGGAACCGGACTCCTCCCCGGTGAAACCAGTGAAAGACTGCAAAGATGGTTTATTTTAATTGCTTCTAACGAAATTTTTAAATTTATTCAATAAAGACTTCAATAGCAGTAAGTGTGATTCTACAATAAGCAAACTACATTTAAATTGATGCAACTAAGTAGTTCGGAATGCATTTTGTACTGTCCTTTTTGATTACAAAGAAGGAAAGTACAAGCAGGCGTGGGTCTCTATGGAGTGCGATGCAAAGGTCGGACCATCTGTCATTTTGATATAAATTGTGATAATGTAATCTAAGACCATCGCCAACAGCCAAATACTATATTTAAGTGCGGCGTCTATTACTAAACTGTAATGTCAAAAAGCAAAATAGCCATTAATTTTTCTTCATGTCCAGGAATAACTTAATTTTTTCCCATTTTCTTTTTACTATAACCATTTTTAAAAAAAAAATACTATAAGCTCCCTTCTGCTTAAGAAACATACCCTGCAATTAAAGTATATTTACCTTTTAAACCAATGTCTCAAAATTGTGTAGGTTCTATTTGAGCAAGATAGAAATCTATCCCAGTTCTCTGTGTTTGTATAAGAAAATGGTGTTTTTGAATGAAGGCAAAAATGGCACTCTTCTTTCCAATCATGACAATCGCACACACATCTTTCTGAAACCGGTTCGAATATTGTCGTTGTCGTTTCACATGAGCAAGATGCACACGATGTGACTTCGTAAAGGGCTTCTTGATATTCACAGGGGCAGCAGCATGTGCTGCAATGTGGTCCACTTACTTTGCTACCAACAATTTGTTTCAGTCTATGAGGGCATCTGGACATGGTTAAGGAAAAATATGCTAAAATATCTGCTGCTCAAAAGCAACCATTAAAAATCTTCTACGAAGGATATCTAACAGTAAACAATGAATTACTTCACTTCATTTCGCGAATTTGTGTTTCTTTTTACATTTTGCTGAACGTTTTTTGTGCTTAAGCTCACGCATGTGTTTTTAATTGGACAACTAAGGCAAAACTAAATCATATGGTTTGCATGATATCATTAGCTTTGAAACAACAAATTAAGAGTGTCAATGGTTACTCTTCACCATATTTGCGCTACATATTATATGGAATATTAATAATGCAATATATAGGTATTAAAATACCGTAATGTCGCAAGCTTCACGCCAAAATCCCNCCAGGCCTTAAGAGTGTCAATGGTTACTCTTCACCATATTTGCGCTACATATTATATGGAATATTAATAATGCAATATATAGGTATTAAAATACCGTAATGTCGCAAGCTTCACGCCAAAATCCCGAATTTGCTAATTTCGTAAATTTTTTGATTTGATTCTTGGTCAATTATGCGAAAGACTACGAATGTGGATGTCGCACCTAAGTACTCTAAAACCAGAGGAGAGGAAGCTAGTGTGCAGAAGAGGAATATTTCAGTCATTTATACCTCAAAAATTCTCTGTAAAATTTGACTGATTAGTAAAACTATGGTACACTTTCACAGGCAGTTAGTTACAAGACAATATCATAGATTTTTAAATAGAGATTAAAAAAAAGAAGGTTTTTATGATGGGAAGTAACTTCTTAAATTTTTTTTTAAATTGCAACTTGAGATCTTTTTTAGTCATTGCTTTTTAACATTGAGAGATACTTATGTTATGAATGCTTTATTTGTCACTTTTGATATTTTTTTCTTTAATTAAGGGATAGAAAAATAATTATTAGACGGGATTAGTGTGGACACGCAGTGTACCCTTGCAATGATGTTAAATTATAAATTATAAAATTAAATTATAGCGTTCCCTGAAAAAATTTAATATTGCAAGTACGCTTCCTGCCGGTAATTATTCTTACATCTCCAGTATTTTCTATTTAGTCCTGATATTTTCAGGCTCATTACAACCAGGTCATATGTCTTTAGTTTTGCTAATTAGAAAATAAGTAAAGAATTACTCAACCAGCCTGAATTTGCCTCAGCTTACTGCTGTTGGCACGTTACAAAGAGACTGCTGAGATTTGCAACAAGCCGTGAGTTTTAATTGGACTTATGACATACAGATTGCATTTGTAAAAAATAAAATTTGCGTTTATCATTTTTAAAGTAATATTTATTTTTAAGATTGTAGACCATTCAAATTTATTCGACTAATTTGTTGTAATTTCCAATTCTACGATAGAAAATCCATGAATATAATATAGCTCATACTAAAATCGAACGTTTCTATGTTAGTAATGATCACTAAAATATAGTTATCATCATAGCAAATCTTATTTTAATACAACATTTCTGAAGTTACAGAAAAAAATCGATTGAATCGAAGTAAAAGTAATAGTTAGGGGAAAAAAAGGAGAATTATTGTGTACAAAGCTATGTAAGCTGTATTAGTACTCTCACAAATTTTTATATTTTTCTTTAATAAAAAAAAATTGTCCAAACCATGAAACCGATTATATAAAGTGTTATCGATTCTGTGAGCTGATATTAGAACTGATTTGGGGAATGAATATTCGTCCATGAAGCTAATGGAAAACTAGGGGGGATTTCATTTTGCTTGCTGCAGTTTTAGACAGTTGGAAAATTATATCTTCTTACGGGTTTCAAAACATATTTAGATTTAAAATTTAAATATTTAAAATAATTTGATACTCTGATTTCTCCGATCATGAAATTTTTATAAATGCATAAAGAAAAATAAAACCAGTTTATTAATATTAGTCAACCATAGTGCATTGAGTAACCTAAAAATAACCAGCTACTAAGAATATATCAATGTATGATTTACTGTAAAGTTTTAGCGCCAGTAATAGTATTTAGCCGCACAAGAGTTGTACTAGTTTTAAAATCAGATGAAATTTTTTTTTTTGGTTTTGTAAGCTGAAAGCATCACACTGTGCATGGTTTTTCTTTCTGTTAAATTGCTTGTTTACCTAATTTTATAAGTTTTTGGAACACCCGGGGATTGATTTCAATGTGCTACACTTTATTTTCAACAATGTGATGATTTTTTAAGAAAACACAAGTCACTTGAAAAAAGTAGTCAGTTTATTGTAATGCGATTTCAATGTATAATTTCTTTTTCAGAAATTCTCCTATTTTTCATTTCCCAAGCGTTGAAAGCTTCTTTTGGATCACGTGATGCTTCCTCTAAAACAGTTGGCAAGGATATTAAGCTCGTACTACTTGACGAGGGAGATATCAGTGTTAATGTGGGTGCTCTTTGAGTTTCAGATCCGAAAACACTGATCAAACTGTATGTTAGATGATCTTTGAGGTAACTAAAACCATGAGTTTCTTTCACTTTAGCAAACGCAATTATAATCAGGGCTAGGAAGAGGATTCCGGAACAAAATAAAACTGAAATAAAGGTAAATATTTGGATTAGTAATTTTTACTTAATTGCACCGCACTATTACTAAATCTATTAAAATTAAGGCACTTAATACAAACTAGCAATCTTTGGCGACCAGCTTGGCCACCTTTCAAAATTGCGCGACATATAAACTTTTATGGTAACTAAGCTAAACGCACAGCACAACTGCATTTTAATGTTCTAATTCTTCAACTCGTCCTCCAATTACAGCATCGTAATTAGTTTTAAACAATATATTAACCAAATTTTTTTAACGACTAGCTGTTTCGCTTTGAAGGCCTTGATTTTAATTTTAACTATTTATATGTCCACGAGATCATAGCTCTTTATTTATTGAATTTTAGTAGTAATTTAAAAATTTTCGGACAGTTATTAAATCACAGAACCTTTCGTAAAGTATAAGTTTGGGACATTTCAGCATAGTAGGTAGCAGAAGTATTCAAATTATTTCCATCTCTACCGTGAGATGAGATAGAAAACTCATTTCAATGTTTCATTACGTTTTTTACTACTACCTCACGCACCTCTCGAACCAAAATTTGAATATCATATAAAGAAATAAATGCTGTTTCTCGAAAAAGGCAAGCTTTATCACTAATGATTGATAAGGAGGTGTGTTGTTCCATTGCATAATTTATTGTTCAAAATTTCAACAGCCATTTTAGATTGAAGATAAATCTGAATTTTACTTCATAACTTCGCAACTAAGTTTTTATTTTAATAAATATGCAACATTTTTCTTAATAAATACTCAACGTATAGACTACTACTGTAAACATTTCTCAATTCTTCAGGCAGTTATTTAAAGTGTAGTTTTCTGTAAAAGCCATTAGCAGTTTGAGCTTTAAAAAATTAAGTTATCAAAAAATATCATAATTAAGATAACTTGATGTATTTTTATAAGAATCATATTTAAATAACTGACGTAAATACAAGATAAATTTTTATCTTACCCAGAAGGATTATTTTCATGACATAAGCCACTGTTGCAAGAGATACCAAACTTGGATGAGAAAAAAAAGTTTCATTGAACGAGATCTTGTCATATGAAATGTACGTCTCAAGATCAAGGCTATCTTCTTCTTCACTTAGAATTGATACATTTTTCTCTGTACATTTAGTCCAGGCATTTAAGTTCTCTGTGATGAGTTTTAACCAATTAGGTGTGGTTTCATTTTGCTTAGTTTTGAATCTTGTTGTAATATTCTTCGAAACGTTGGTGTTGTTTGCGATTTTTGAAGATATTGTTGATGAAAATTGCACTCTAGGCTTAGTTAAAATCTTCAGAGCAGAGGCAGCTATTGAGGATTCTTTCAATTCTACATTGGCTGTAATTAAGGTCTTCAGAGGTGCGATTGAGGAATCTTCAAATTCCGTACTGGGTTTTGCTAAATTCTCCAGTATCGATGCAGTTGGGGAATCTGTTGAGTCCATGTTGAATTTAGCTAAATTCTTTATGAGAGATGGTGCAACTGTAGAATATGCAAATAAAGACTTTCGGAGAATTGTTGTTAGTTCTGGTTGAACGAGTGAAGAACTAGTTAAATTTGCATCGACATCCCAGTCCAGTGTAAATAGCAAAGTAGAATCTTCCAAGTCTGGTTCGTTTTCTGTAGAAAAATAATCAGAATGTGAAATTGTACTCATTTCAGTAAATTTATAATCAGTCATCGCTTTTGTTTGGTATTCTGTAGCAGGACTTATGAATTTCGTTGCTGTTTTCAAATATTCTAACCTTTGGAGTTCATCAATTTTGGCTGTTTCTTCATAAATCGAAAGCACTTTCTCTTGATCCATTTTCAATTGACCGATTTTTGATTTATTTATTTTATTTTCTACAATTTTGCTAGATGCTAAGAAATTTGTGTTGCGGTTATCGACTTTCTTCATTGCATTATGAGAATTAGTTTCAATTTCGTTTTTTAATACTTTTCTGCTAAATAAAGCAGTACCAGCTTTCCTAAAATTTTGATTTCTCAGATTTTTTACTAAAATGGGTGGAATTTTCAAGAAAAATTTGGATTTTTCTCTAGATTCATTCTTATGCAGAAATAAATACTTCCGAGGTTTTTTCATGTTCCTGTATCGAGCAAAGGATCTTTTAAAATGTATGTTTGTAGATTGTTTCGTAGAATAATCTTGAAAAAAGGAACCCTCTGTTTGATTTTCTTGTAAAATGCTATTTTCCGTTGATTTGAATTCGTATGTCTCGGGCAATCCTTTCAGTTTTCTTAAAAATGATCTATTTGTTATGATCACATTAGTTAAATTTTGGTCCTTCAGCGTATTTGAAATTTTAAGATCATTTATTAAGTAGTTTTCGTGCTTAAAATCGCAGTCAAAATTATATTTTTCTATTGATTGCTTGAAATTATAAAATTTTGAAAAATATATTGAACGTTGATTTTTTGATAAGATTTGTCTACCTTCTATTTTTGAAGGTGTATGATTCTTTGTTTTCCAAATTAGAAAAGCTATCAATGTACCAACTACAATACTTACAACTA